GGGCTGTAAATGGGGTCTGATTGTGAAAACTGTAGTATGTATCAGTCACAGAAATGTTTTAATGCGTCAGCAATCGTGACACCATCTGAAAGAGGAACAGTAGCGGTGTGGTGAAACTCGAGTGATGCTAAAAAACACTGAAGTGCCAAGAAGGCTGCTTTGACCTCATCCCAGCCAAAACTGTGTCATTCAGGAAGCTGATGTGCAAAAACTGCCTTCCACATGTGGTAGAATGGGAGGTTCACAGTACGAGCACCTGAACAATCTGCAGGAATTGCATGATGCAATCAACATGGACCAGAATCTTAATCGAATGTTTTCAACATCTTGTGGAATTCATGCAACAAATTGTGGCTGTTTTGAGAGCAAAGGGACTTCCTACTCAGCATTAGTACAGTGTTCCTAATAAAGTGCTCGATAAGTGTATATAACCTAATATTTTCGGTAACACTTTCTATGAATGTCACGTTTGTAAGCATCTATAAACACATTTATAACATGTTATAATGCCTTCATACAGTATTACACTGGATTACACTTTATAGCCATGTTTATTATACATTATAAATTGTTAATATAATGCATTATAAGTAGTGTTGATAACATGTTATACTGTCAGTGGCAAAGAAGTCAGTCCCAACTTAAGAACTGCAAAGTAAAGACAAATACCAAGCTAACGGTGGTGTACATTACCTTTCCCACATTGGGTAAAACACTGATGGCAGCTCTAGTTTAAACTCTGACATTTGAAGCCTGTAATGAGCTTTATTGTGTATGTTTAGTGTTTCAGTAAATCCTTCAGTAAATACTTCAACTTGTAGCCTCACTCTGAACACTGGAGGAGGCTTTAGTACAGTACGCTTCACTTTACTTAGAGCGGACAAATACGGCTTATGAGCTCTTATAATTTGTTATGATCAGTGCTTATAATGTATTATGTTAACAATTCATAATGCATGGCTATAACATGTAATGCATTTTTATAAATATTTATAGCCATGTTTATAATGCCTTATGAATGCATTATAACATGTTATGAATGTGTTTATAGATGCTTACAAAGGTGACATTCATAGAAAGTGTTACCATATTTTCTTGCCAACATCTGATGATGCCAATATTGAATGGCTCTAAAACCAAATTAGCCAAACTGTTATCACATTGTTATGGCAACAGTAACACTTTCTATGAATGCCATGTTTCTAAGCATCTATAAACACATAACATGTTATTATGCATTCATAAGGCATTATAAACATGGCTATAAATATTTATAAAAATGCATTACACATTATAGCCATGATTATAATGCATTATGAATTGTTAACATAATGCATTATAAGTACTGTAAATAACACATTATTAGAGCTCATAGGTTTACTGAAGGATTTACACTAAAACATACACACTAAAGCAAATTACAGGCTTCAAATGTCAGATTTTAAACTAGTGCTGCCATCAGTGTTTTACCCAATGTGGGAAAGTTAATGTACACCACCGCTAGCTTGGCAGTAACTTAACACTGCATATCCAATAGAAAGCTAGCAGAAATTATCATTACTGTACTGTAGTGTAGTTATGGTACAGAGTGAAGAAATGATATCTTAGTGAGTGTAAATATCTTAAATGTAGTCAATATATCTATTTTTTCCTATTATGGGACTGTTGTAAGAATATTGGAGATTATTTAACTTATTTCTAGAATTGTTTACTTGTTTTTAAGCAGTTTTATCTCATAAAAGTGTCTTATTCCATTAGCAGATCATTTTACCTGTTTTAAGCGTGATTTATTGACATTAGCAAAATTATCTTCATTATTTCTCAAAACAAGTAAAACAATCTGCCAAAGGAATAAAACACGTTTACTAGATAAAGTCCCTTAAAACAAGTAATAATGTACAGAAACAGGTGGATTAATCTTATAATATTCTGACAACAGTCTCGTAACAACAAATACTACGTTTAGATTTGTGTGGAACCATGAACACTTAAAGAACCCTCTGCATGATTAAAGGGTTCATTGCATTGTGAAATGGTTCATCAGATTGATTTAGAATGTGCTGTAGATGGTTCTATATAGCACCAAAAAGGGTTCTTCTATTGTAATACGCCTGACATTGTAACAATAGAAGAACCATTTTTGGTGCTATATGGAGGTCTTTTTGAAAAGGTTCTATAAAGAACCATCTACAGCACATTCTGATGAACACTTTCACCTTTTAATCATGGAAAGAGTTATTTTAATGTTCTATATGGAACCATTTTCCTTATTGAAGAACCCTTGAAGAACCATATTTTTTAGGTATGTAGACAATTGATTCGGCCAATTTTAGCTCAGTGTTAAAAGGGTTTAACCCTTTTGTTTCCATGAAACAAGAGTAGTACTGTCATATCAAAGAAGGTCCTCAGGTTCCCGTCTGCAAAAATGAACTTTTATACAGAAAATATTTTAATACTGACTATTAAATTACTAAAATAAACAATGCAGGGTGGTTTGGGGGCTGTAAATTGGGTCTGATTGTGAAAACTGTAGTATGCATCAGTCACAGAAATGTTTTAATGCGTCAGCAATCGTGACACCATCTGAAAGAGGAAGAGTAGCGGTGTGGTGAAACTCGAGTGACGATTCAAATAACAGAAATAGTTGCTAAAAACACTGAAGTGCCAACAACGTTGCTTTGACCTCATTCAGGAAGCCGCTGCGCAAAAACCACCTTACACAGAGCCACCAGAGATAACATTGCCTGATTACTTTTCACCTTTTCACCTTAGTTGCTACATTTGAGATGGAGCAACATCAGTGGAGGGTTTGGCCGTTTGGAGGATCTACCTCTTTATACATTCAGCCTTTGTTCATTTTATTTTAGATATATTTTATTTAGAGATATTATCTATACTTCACACTCATCCATTACTTTACTAGGAACATGTGTACACCTACTCATTCATGCAATTATCTAATCAGCCAATCATGTGGCAGCAGTGAAGTGTACTAAATCATACAGATGCAGACCAGCAGCTACAGTGTCATGAAAAATGTAGCCTGGTCTGATAAAGGTCAATTTCTGCTGAGACCCACAGATAGAAGGGTCAGAATTTGGTGCCAACATGAAACCATAGATCCAACCTGCCTTGTGTCAACAGTCCAGGCTGGTGGAGGTGGTGTAATGGTGTGGGGAATGTTTTCTTGGCATATGTTGTTAATATCAATCCATCATGGCTTGAATGCCGCAATCTATTTGAGTATTGTTGCTGTCCATGTGCATTGCTTCATGGCCACGATTTATGCATCTTTTAATAGCAACCTCCAGCATGACAATGCCCCATTTTACAAAGCAAAAGTCATCTCAAACTTGTTTCACGAACCTCACAGCTCAATGTGCTTCAGTGGCCTTCCCAGTCACCACATCTGAATCCAATAGAACACCTTTGGGATGTGGTAGAATGGGAGGTTCACAGTATGAGCACCTGAAAAAGCACCAGAATCTTAAATGAATGTTTTCAACATCTTGTGGAATTCATGCCACGAGCAATTGAAGCTGTTTTGCGAGCAAAGGGACTTCCTACTCAGTATTAGTACAGTGTTCCTAATAAAGTGCTCGATAAGTGTGTGTAACCTAATATTTTCTTGCCAACATCTGATGATGCCAATATTGGATGGCTCTAAAATCAAACTGGCCAAACTGTTATCACAGTGTTATGGCAGCGGTAACACTTTGTAAGCATCTATAAACACATTCATAACAAGTTATAATGCATTCATAAGGCATCATAAACATGGTTATAAATATTTATAAAAATGCATTACGTTATAGCCATTCTTATAATGCATTATGAATTGTTAACATAATGCATTATACGTACTGTTGATAACAAATTATAAGAGCTCATAAGTCGTATTTGTCCGCTCTAAGTAAAGTGAAGCGTACTGTACTAAAGCCTCCTCCAGTGTTAAGAGTGAGGCTTCAAGTTGAAATATTTACTGAAGGATTTATTGAAACACTAAAACATTCACAATAAAGCACATTACAGGCTTCAAATGTCAGAGTTTAAACTAGAGCTGCCATCAGTGTTTTACCCAATGTGGGAAAGTCAATGTACACCACCGTTAGCTTGACACTAACTTAACACTAGAACCAGTGAGGGAACAAATTACAATGACAGCGCTCTACTATCTCACCTCTCCCTCTCCTCTCAACTCCCAGTGACTTCATGCTCAGTGTGATGTCAAAGGGGGTTCAGGGGAGGGGCTGATGGGTACTTGGTTCACTGTGATGTAATGCAACACTTAAAGTGAGACGCTGGCTAAGAAAAGCACTTTGTAACAGTAATTCTAGGCTGGACAGCCTGTTTGGAGCGTCTGAATATTCAGGACTGAATCCCCGAAGATGGAGCCCTGACAGCACCAGCAGTGGGAAATAAAATACTGGAGATCTCAGGGTGTAAATAAACTCTGTATTTGTCTTTACGCTCTCCAAGCTGGGACTGACTTCTCTGGCAGTGACAGTATAACATGTTATTAACACTACTTATAATGCATCATATTAACAATTCATAATGTATAATAAACATGGCTATAAAATGTAATTCAGTGTAATTCATTTTTATAAATATTTATAACCATGTTTATAATGTCTTATGAATGCATTATGACATGATATAAATGTGTTTATGTATGCTTATAAACATGACATTCATAGAAAGTGTTACCGTGGCAGCCTTAGAATTAAACAGGTTGATATTGTTGCTGTGCTGTAAGGATAGGTAATTGATCTCTGGCTTGATTGGTTGATCATTCCTCATTCAAAGAGCTGTTTGGGCTCAAAGATCCTTCAGTGTGATTGGTGGAGCTGAACTGCTGTAGGCCAAATAAGCAGATATGTGTAAATGAATTGCTGTGATATTACAAAAACAATTATATTACATTGTCTGTTTTTTTGCAACCTAGTTTCCGTATATGGACTGTATGGAATGGCACACTTTGACAACAGCAGTTTCAACACTACAACTCGTTTATTTCAAGTAAACAAGGAACATTTTCCATGTTTTCCATGATATGCAGAGGAGAACTATTCTAAATTTGTCAGTTTTGGTCTGTGACCTCTACATAATATTTGCATAGAAAACAAATACAGTGATCATGTGAAGAATGTTAAAAAATAGTTAAAAATAGGAATAACATTGTCTGATGAGGGGGCTAAATCAAAATACAACCTAACACCTATGCTATGTCTACACCAGCTACTCTGAATCTGCGACATCTATGGTGGTTTTCTGGGTGAATCAGAGTTGATTGTAGAAATCCTCTCCACTGCCAGGCTGAATGGAGTTATTGCGAGGCATGAATCCCTGTACTAGGATCTAGCACATGATAGCTGCACTGGCCTGACATCTTCAGTCTTCTTTCTCAAAGACTGAAGACATCACTATTCGTTGCATAGTGTCAAACGTTGCCGAGTCCAGCATCTGAACGTCCTTTAACTGTCTGGACCAACAGGGTCTCTCTGATGCCGCTGGGGATGCCGCTAATGGATTTCCCAGGTTTCATCATGGTTGGAGCCAAAGAAGATCAGTTGAGGGAGAGTTGAGGAGCACTCTCGGGAGGCAGAGTGGGAGTTTCATCTCTAAAGTCATCAGACTGAAGGTCTGTAACGAAGAAACAGAAGAATGGCTTAAGAATAGAGAACATAAGAGAAGAAAATCGAGGCCACTGGATAAGAAAACAGAGCAGGAGAACTACTGTGGCTTCTAATTCCATGAGAGTGAAATTTTGGAAATTTTTATTTTCTTAATTCAACCTTTTCACCGGTGGTTCCAAAACTCACTTCGTCATACTCTTCATAACTTTCATATTTCATAAGCTACATTCAAAAGGTGAGTGTCATATGAGGCTGTAACTGTCTTGTTTCCAGTCAAATAGATGGGTAATGTAATTTTAAAACTTTATAATAAAAGAAACTGAACTTTTCTACTGCAAAGTCGACCCATTTTTCCACGAATCTGGACTATAAACTATAAACAGATGGCGTCTCTTCAGTGATCTGCTCTGTAAAAATTATTTTTATAAAATAATACAAAGAGCGTCAAAGATTTTTGGCTTTCAGCAGTAAACCGTAAGCATATAGCAATATGTGTGATCATAACACTTTCTGTTAATTTGAGGGGAGGTTTTACAAAAAAATAAAATAAAATAAAATAAAAATTTACATTTATTTTATGCAGTTTCTGAATAATTGGCCACGTAAATTCAGATGGAAAAACCAAAATATACCCTGGTGAATAAGAGGTTAAGATACTTAAGATTCCATGAATGTTCCACCCAAATGTAGTTGATCAACCAAGGCCCAGGTTTTGTTCTGGAGCTATGGGGCTACTGTAGCTAACAAGCTTCCATTATATGTTAACATTAAATACATACATTAAAGCATTTGATTTTTCACCAAATGACTACTTTAAAACTCTTCAGTAGGAAGGACATGAAGATGGTTGCCAGAACCACCAGGGTCAGTAGACACTTGGCTACCCACTTTTCAAAGTACTGGGGCAATGCCCCACCAATTTTTGATTAATCTCAGGAGCAGCCAGGTGATTGGCTCTTTTTTACTGAAAAATGGGACTTTACCCATAAACAAATTCCAAGGTCAGCATCAAGAGCCACATTCTTAGCAAAAGGGGTTCTATACAGTACCAAAATAGGGTTCTTTGGCTTATAACAATAGTGGAACTGCTTTGGTGCTATATAGAACCCTCTTATTTAAAGTATTACAGTACCACTCTTATTCCATGAAAACAAAAGGGTTAAATCCTAAAAACAGTGAGCAAAAAATAGCCAATAGGTATCTACACACCTTAAAATGAAGGTTCTTCAAGGGTTTTTTGGTAAACAAAATGGTTCTATGTAGAACCATGAACATTCAAAGAACCCTTTGCATGATTGAAGGGTTCTTTGCATTATGAAAGATTTCTTCAATTGATGATGAATGTGCTGTAAATGGTTCTATGTATAATCTTTTTAAAAAGGGTTCTGTCTAGCACCAAAAAGGGTTCCCCTATTGTAACACACCTGACATCATAACCCTTTCGGTACTATATAGAAGCCTTTTCAACAAAGGATTCCACGTAGAACCATCTGCAACACGTTCACCATCAATCTGAAGAACGTTCACAATGCAAAGAAGCTGTTAATCATGCAAAGGGTTCTTTGAGTGTTTATGCCTCCATATAGAACCATTTTCTTGACTAAAGAACCCTTGAAGAACCATCTTTTTTAAGAGTGTATCCTGTTAATTAACCAATTAACTGTCTCCTCCTCCATTACAATGTGACTGTTTATGAATAGTTTTATTGGAACATGGTATATAATAATATACTATACCAGTATAATATTATAGATATGCTAAATGTAATGCTGTAGTCTTCGTTCGTCAGTCGGTGGCTCAGCTCTCGTTTGTCAGTCAGTCATCTGCAGTTCCACTAGCACACTTTGGGCTTTGTTTTCCGGTCCATCATTTTTGGATATGTGGTGCCACCCCTGCGTATGAAGCTCTGTAGTAAAACACAGAAGGTGGAATGGTGAATTCATCCCACCTAACAGTGAGGTGCCCTGCTGTTGGCTGATAATGATGGAGGACTCCTCTTCCTCCTCCTCCTCCCCCCAGTCTGCGATGTTGGCAGGTGGAATACACTGCTCCAGGAACAGATCCTCGTCCTCCTCGTAGTCGTCCTGCTCCGGGGGCCAGCGCAGCTCGCCGCTCTCCACCTCACTCACGTCCGTGGGCTCCACCACGATGGAGGGCAGCCGCTCCTTCCCCTGCTCCACACAGGTCAGAGAGCTGTCTGGACCCAGCACAGCCTCCACAGGGTCTGGAAAGATCTGCAGAGAGGGAGAGAAGAACGGGATAGAGATGGATGAACAGATGGATAAAAGGTTTACACAGTGCTGCTGGAGTTTTTAAACACCTCATCATCAATGCTGGACTGAGAATAGTCCACCAACCAAAAATATCCAGCCAACAGCGTCCTGTGGGAAGCGTCCTGTGACCACTGATGAAGGACTAGAGGATGACCAACACAAACTGTGCAGCAGCAGATGAGCTATCGTCTCTGACTTTACATCTACAAGGTGGACTGACAAGAAGGAGTGTCTAATAGAGTGGACAGTGAGTGGACACAGTGTTTAAAAACTCCAGCAGCACTGCTGTGTCTGATCCACTCAGACCAGCACAACACACACTAACACACCACCACCACGTCAGTGTTACTGCAGTGCTGAGAATGATCCACCACCCAAATAGTACCTGCTCTGTGAGGGTCCATGGGGGTCCTGACCACTGAAGAACAGAGTAAAAGGGGGCTAACAAAGTATGCAGAGAAACAGATGGACTACGGTCTGTAACTGTAGAACTACAAAGTGCACCTATATAGTAAGTGGAGCTGATAAAATGGACAATGAGTGTAGAAACAAGGAGGTGGTCATAATGTTATGGCTGATTGGTGTATATACAGTTGTGTGTGAAAGTTTGGGCACCCCTGGTTACAAGAATTTTTTTTTCTTCTAATACTTTAAACACAGAAAATAAATAGAATTTTTACATTAACATTTGCATATTCAAGTTTGTCCTTGTAATTTGACTAGGGGTGTACTAACTTTTGCATACAACTGTAAACAGACAGAGAGATACACTCTCAGAAAAAAGCTACTGTCACTCTTGTCACTTTGGTGGTACGGTCAAGGGTCTTCAGTACCTTTAGTTTGGCAACATAATTGTACCGTAATCCATTTATATTTATTAAACTGTGTTGACTCTATACATCCTGTCTTGACACCTTGCTTTGAATTTTATTGTTCTGTTTTGAAACTTTAGGCTATGAAATGGTACAAATAAGCACCTTTTCCCTGAAAAACGTGTATTTAAAGTACATTGTATTTAAGGTTTCCCCTTTGTTCCCCTGAATGTTCCTGTTTCTTCCCCTGTGTTGTGGCCATGTGCTTTTGTTGTTGTTTTGTTTCCTTTGCTCCGCCCCTTTCTCACCTTCCGTATTAGGATTCTCACCTGGTTGTAGTCCCTGTCTCCTCCCTCTCCCAGGTGTTCCCTATTGTTTGTAGCCTATATTAAGGCCTTTGTTTCAGTCATGGTTGTCTAGTCTACACACTTTACACATCACTGTGTGACATGTAGTGGTTCAGTGCCTGCGCTGTGTTTTGTTTGCTCAATGTGTGTCTTAGTTTAAAACCTTGTAGTTTGTTATTTTGTACTCAGTGTTTCTACTAATTTGTTAAAGTTTGCTTGTGCTTACATTCAGCCTCATTACTCACCACACATGACAACACAGTTGGCCCCTAAAACCACCGTTGTGCATTTGAAGGTACATTTACTTTGTTTTTACCTTGATGAATGAAAAATGTACCTGAACAGAACCTTCATTTCTGGCAGGATAGGTAGGTAGGTAGGTAGATAGATTTTTAAAAATGGATTACGAGGTAAAATATGTTTCAAATTATGAGGGAATGTTCAAATACCCAATCAGAGTACATGGTTAAAGTAACCATTAAAATTACATGCTTTAGGTAGCCAATCATTTGGAGGAGTGTAGGATTCCATTAGCCAATCAGATTGCAGCGTTTAACCTTATAATTAATAGAAGTTTTGGTAACACTTTCTATGAATGTCACCTTTGTAAGCATCTATAAACACATTCATAACATGTTATAATGCATTCATAAGGCATCATAAACATAAATATTTATATATAAATATTTATTAAAATGCCTTACATGTTATAGCCATGCTTATTATGCATTATGAGCTGTTAATATAATGCATTGTAAGTACTGTTCATAACAAATTATAAGAGCTCATAAGTGGTATTTGTCTGCTCTAAGTAAAGTGAAGCGTACTGTACTAAAGCCTCCTCCAGTGTTAAGAGTGAGGCTTCAAGTTGAAGTATTTACTGAAGGATTTACTGAAACACTAAAACATTCACAGTAAAGCACATTACAGGCTTCAAATGTCAGAGTCTAAACTAGAGCTGCCATCAGTGTTTTACCCAATGTGGGAAAGGTAATGTACACCACCGTTAGCTTGGTATTTGTCTTTACTTTACACTCTCCAAGCTGGGACTGACTTCTTTGGCACTGACAGTATAACATGTTATCGACACTACTTATAATGCATTATATTAACAATTCATAATGTATAATAAACATGGCTATAAAGTGTAATCCAGTGTAATTCATTTTTATAAATATTTATAACCATGTTTATAATGCCATATGAAGGCATTATAACATGTTATAAATGTGTTTATAGATGCTTAAAAACGTGACATTCATAGAAAGTGTTACCGAAAGTTTTTTTTTCATTTCTACAACCAGACATCTCGAAAATGTGGTTTGCTCAGCTGTGGCCTGTAAAACCATCTATCATAGATCATTATACAAACAATATAATATTGACTGATATTATTTGCCCACTTTAAAAGTCTTTCCTATAATTCATGCAACAAATGTCTCGAATTCTACACAGAGAGATGGAGCGAGCTGGCAGGAAGCTCGTGTTTTGTGGGTGAGTCTGTGATGTGGTTTCTCAGTGTAGCTCACCTGAAAGGGCAGTCTGTCCCCCTTCCTCTGCAGCGGAATTTCATACATGGCCGAATCCTGGGCCCTCAGGTCCTCCACACATCTGTTTCAAAAATGGAAGTAAATAAATAAATAAAGGACGGATTTGGGGAGGAAATCAGGGCCGTTTACAGAGCGTGTGTTCTTTATGCTAATACTGTAATGACTGAATTGGAATTTTGCCCGTTACATCACACACAGGACGCTTTGTGCAACAGATGCTTGCTATCCCCTCTCCTCTCTTGCTTATTTTCTGTTTTCAGTTCTCTGTTTTCATCTGTGCTTCTGTGTTCAACATGCACACATTTTACACCTCTTTCCACATTCTGATCTACTTGCACAGTTCTGACCCACTTCTGTCCCCCCATATACACCCCCCGTTCCACTTAATTTCTCTTTGCGCAACAAAACAGACTGAGCTGAAATGTTTAGAGCGGACTGTTTAGTACAGGACTGTCCAGTATGACCTTTAGGCCCTAATTCGGCCCTTGAGGATGAAGGATTTGGCCTTCCAAATCCATTTCACAATTATATTTTTTAAAGTATTTTATTGACAAAATATAGTATAATGTTACAAAATGCATGACTTGAAACCCACAGCATTTTGGAAAAGTCGGAGACCACCCTTCTTTTATTTTACCCTTCTTTCAATTCTCAAAATTATGATAAGATACAGAGAAACTGGCCCTCCTAACAATCACCTGCAAGACCTGATAGACCACCAACACTGTCCCTATCAGATAAACAGCACTTAAAGTTTCATCTCTGAGAGAGAGGAGAAAATCAAGCTGCTTCAGATCTGAAAACATCCACAGGTGTTTCTGTCCATCCTTCCACTGTGAGAAGACGACTCAGCACTGTGGGTCTGAAAGGATGTGTAGCTGTTAAAAAGCCCTCACTGAGAAAAGGAAACAGACAAAAAGAAGAAAATTTGCAAATCAAACAAAGAAGCTCCCGGCGCACTTGGAACAATGGACTGACCACCCCAGAGTCCAGACCTCACGGAACGTGTCTGGGGTTATTTGGATCATGAAAAGCAGAAAATGCAACTGACTTCTATGACTGAACTTTGCAGGTGAAATCACCTGAAATCAATCACATTTACATGTGCAAATGTGAGTGAAAACCTTTATCTAGTATTTAAATGCAAAATTATATTTAATTAATTATACTTTAAAAAATACAAATATATATAACTTTACAGAAGAAGGGAAAAAACCCACTTTACTTTTAATGTAAGTCAATGGAACCAGACATTTTTCCAAGTCATTTTGGGCCGTTTCATTAGGTCCATTCAGCATGAAATGTACACAAAATGTAAAGGACAACAGGCATTTTCAAATTATGGCTGAAAAAAAAAAATATATATATATATATATATATATATATATATATATATATATATATATATATATATAACAGTAGTTAAAGTTATGAAATAAAAGCTATGATATGTACAGTTGTACACGTTTCCATATGTGCAATTTGTGAGTCTGAAGAGGATAAATGAGATAGGCAGGGGATAGAATATTTATTTATATCTATTCCAGATTATACAAGATATGGATAGAAGATGTACAAAATATCAATCTATATGTGCATGTACAGATTTGCTAGATTGAAGTTACAGTAAGATCAGAGTGAGTCTGTTTGAGTTGTGGATGCGGTGTGCATTGTCTATGATGCTGATTCAGAGGTGCAGTGACAGGCCTATTCACCGATACACCAGCACTTAGGCATTCTTATTTACATCTCAATTTACAGATTATCCAGTCATTAATCTTAAGACTTACTATTTATTAAATACTTTTAATTATTGTGTAACTGCTAGAGCTGTCACGATTAGTCAAACTCAATTTTATGGTTGATTAAACTGATAATGCACATTTTAAGCTCCGCTTCTGCTCTCAGTAAAAAACAGAACATGCACTATTTTATGGTGTAATGTTTTACTTTTTCGTAGTTATCATTATATAATTTTTTAAAAAGTCTTTCTAAAGTTTCCTTGTTTAAAAGCTTTTTTTTCCAATTGCTGATAATGACAGCTCCAGTAATTAATATGCAATATAGTTATATAGTTATAATAATATAACATAATAATAATATAATAATGGGGTGGGGAATTGAAGTGTGGGCCCACACATGGACCTGCAGTTTAAGGAGCTAAGTCTATACTGAACGAGACGACATATAATAAACAAATTCCACCCTCTTCTCACACAAACCCCCCCAGTTGGCTGCACTCTCTGTCCATCAGCCTCAATGAGACAAGAATAAGGGCTGTCATTGGTCAGGGAGATACACTGAAGGCTTAAGTTGGCCTAAGCAGTCCCGGCTGACCTGAGTCTAATCTGTTTGCATGACTCTCCTGAGCTTGGGAGGCTGGATTATGTCGCTTCTAACACTCGACCAGGGACTGATCATATCAAAATGGATCACACACCTCCCATAGTCATTGTTCATTACAGACAGACTGTGTGGTGCGTTGAGTTTCATCTCCGACGAGAGAAAAACAAAACAAGTGAGGTTTATTTCCCCATTTATTCACTGGGTATTTTGATGGTTCACTGTAGATGTTTTGGAGATGCTCACTTTGCCATTAACTCCTCACAATTCCAGGCTTATTATTCAGTGACTACAGGGACTCCAATGTAAACTAGTTGAGCAATTCTTAAGTTATAGAGGGGTGCAATAAAACCTTGGACCTGCCGGCAGGCCCTGGACTTTAAAGAGGGCTAATTTACACTCAAGTAAACCTTAATTCTAACCTCTGAACCTAAACCTAATGTTAATCTTGGTTCTAATCCAAACCCTAAACCTAACACTAGAGATGTGTAGTAGCTATGTACATTTACTGTAGTGTATTTTGTTGGTTTGTACATTCTTATAGCATTTTCCAAAGCTAATACTTTTATTTTGTATGTTCTCTTTATTTGCGAGGAAAGAAATTTATATTTAACATTGAAAAATGTACATTAAAATTTAGATACAAGTTGCATTTTCATCATTTCATTTCATTTGCATTTCATTAACAGCCCTTTGTGATTGGTTGCAGCTCTCACATTTGAGCTTTCACATTGTATTTAAGGCCAAAAGTTCCCAAAAAAACAGAAAATTAGGGTGTGAAAGATTTCAGTTCCCATGCTGAGAGTTCCCAAGTTTCACTGCAGTCCAATATTGCAAGCTACTCAGTACTTCTGTAGATTTGTTGCCCTACTTACTTTTATACTTCTGCTTAAGTTGGTACTTAAAAATAACGGTTTATAATTAGTTCCTGGCTCAGAGGCTCTATGAATTTTCACAAATCCCTTCTAGAAAGCGAACCATGTACTGAAAGATTCATTAAATATCAATTTGACCCTTTTTTAGTGCTGTTTGACTCAATTCTTCTTTAACCTGAACCCAAAACCAACATGCAACACCAACCTTGGCTCAAATCCAAACCTTAAACCTAACACCACTTCTAACCCTACATCAAATATGAATCAAAACCCAAATCCTGAGTTCCTAATGATTTCAACATTTGTAGATAAGCTAAAAATGACCATTGAAATCCTAGCCGGACTGAACCTTGAGTAGCTAAATGCAAACTAGGATTTTGCTTTGTTTGTGTCTCTCATTTTCCCACTGTGGCCTGAGGACTTGGAGCGACCTTCAAAGACGAGCTCACGATTCAACCTTCAAGATTCTAATATTTCTCAGAAACGAATCTCTTCAGGCTTCAGCAGTCTGGCATCTTTCGAAGGCAGCATGACAGACAGGCACTGAAAATACTTAAAATTGGCTGACATTGCCTGAAAAGATTAATCGCGCATCATGTTCTGTGGATGAGTAGTGGAAAAAAGCCAGTGGGGATGGGGGGTGGGGGGAGTTTGAGGTTATTTTTTTTGTCCTGTTTCAAATCTATTTATGTCCTCCAGAGGAGCTGTGCAGGGATTACGAAGGCCTGAAGAGCCGTCTGACAAACAAAACCTTCAGATGCAGTATATGCTGCACCCACGGGAGTTTCACCCAGGCCGCTAAGAGCTATGTGACATGAGACAGTGGTGAAATGATAGGTGAACTCTTGAGAGGGGGAAAATTTGCAGGCCACATCGCTCAATCTCAGGAAACTTATGAAGTGAAATTGACATTTCGAAGCTCTCAGGCTGTTTATTTTTAGCTTTCAGGAAGCAAGCTGTTCCCAAGCTGCAAGGACGTTCATGTCCGGCCTGCAAAGTGTGGACCCCTTAATGGAAGCCCGAGAGTTAAGACACTCAGCGAAAGGCTCCAAACTGACCAGGAGCAACAAGCATGATCATAAGAAACACGATCCACTGTTCAAAGTGACAGTGGTGGTGCAAGCCAGGCACTACTTAAATATATCTAAAGAAAAAACAGCTTAAAACAGAATGTTAACCCCAGAAATATCACAGTATATGGTGTTATACAGTGGTTAACTGTGATTATAAGAGCAAAGCCTTCAGTACAGGAGATAAAGCTGAAAACTTGGCCAAAAAAATGAGAAAAAAAAAGAAATTTATACAAGAATTCAGATTTTTGCTATCACCTCTATGTAATTTCCAATGGTATGTTAGCACCAAGCTAGCACTCATGCACATTTTTGGCCACACAGAAATTTGAAGCTTGTAAAATACATTATATGTGTTTTATTTGTAGCTTGTCAAAGTATATTTTACCTTCCATGTTGCAGTTTTACAGTGACTTTGACTAAAGAGTCCTGGCATAGAGCCTAGGTTACACCTCACAGTCAGCAACATATCTAAGACTTCCAAAAGGCCCAGAAAGATGATTTCTCATAAAATAGACATCTGAAGTCATTCTGAATGACTTAATTTATCAAAAAAATCACTGCTAATGCATCCCACCATAAAATGAACATGTTCCAAAGCTGATATGTTTTCCTATACATACATTTTCATTCCAAATATCACTGGATCCACTGATTTACAAAGTTGTTAACCTCTTATTGACCAGGGTATATTTTGGTTTTTCCATCTGAATTTACATGACCAAATCGTAAAGCAAATTATTCAGTAACTGCATTAAATAAATGTAAATTTG